TTACTTAATAATTAAAACATATATCGAAAAAATAAGCTCAGCTGTTTCATCTACCTCTCTTGCACTCTCGAATGATCTTTTTCCAAAATCTGTACGATTAATAGCTGAGAACGAGTGGCTGACTCGAAGTAGAAAGTAGGGCCAAGAAGAAAGAACTAGATGCCAACTGCCCTACTGGCAGATGGAAAACCCGACCGAGTGAAACGTATCTCAGACACACTTTAGACACCGTTTAAATCCCTTACATACACTTAGAACATTGCAGTGCTCTACCAGTCAATAAACTGATGCATTCGATCGGTAATAATGTTTCAGACTATGAATGCATCAAACTATACAGAAGTATAGACGGATAAGTAGCACGTGACTACTTAATGAATCACTCTACACTGTTCATAGTGAATGTACATGAAGTGTCACGTGACAATTAATTATCTCATAGAAAATGTATTGAAAATATGCTCAACTCTTGTGGCCCATTACGTAATGATTAAAACATGTATCGAAAAAATACCTTCAGATGTGTCATCTACAGCTGCTGTACTTTCGAATCATCTTTTTACCAAATATCAGGGATTATACCTGGGTCCATTATATCGACAGGATCCGGCGATTTCCGTACCGGAAATCATCAAGAACCTGATCTCCGGATTCGACTAGCTCCTGCACATTTCAGACCGAATCCGGCGTGGGAAATCAACCAGAACAGGCCGGTAACGACTATCGGAATTCAGACATCAGGTTACCAGGTTCGATTCCGTTTGTTTTCCACCGGAAATTAACCCGATCTGACTGCCGGATTGGAAGACAGATTTGCAATGAGAGGTGAAAGATTCTTCTAGTTGCATAATCCACTGAACTAGATTAAACCATCATAGACGATCCCTGAAAGCTTGACTTTGAACTAAGGTAAGTGTCTCTTCAAGTTTATCCAAAGCTAAAGTACTATCAAAGTATTTTGAGTTTTAAATCTCACATAAGCTCTTTTAAACTGTTCAACTTGTATGATAACACCGGTAGTGATGGTGTTATAGACAAATTTTCTCCATCCATAAATATATCGTTCAATCACTGCTACGTTTATATCAACAGCAGAGAAGTCAAAATTTAAATTGCGTCCTGTTCTATTTTGAATTGCGAGCTAGTAGTATGATAATTCGAAAATGTAAAAATTTAAAAGTTATACATTTGTTCATTTTATCGGAAGCATTTTTTTAAAAAAAGTAGAAAAAGCTCAAAGTCAAAGTCAAAATAAATTATTTAGCCCATGATCTTAAAACTGGCAAGGTGGTAATCAAAAGCTTAACAAAAAACTTTGATCAAATCACTCTCAGTACACAAAAAAGCTCAGTATTATCAAGCAGATAAGTTTTGACAGATAAGATGGATTAAATCCTTCGTTAATAATTGCTCCTAGTAGTACATAAATTCAATCGTTTTAAATCCACCACCTATTTGACTCATTTCTATTCTTTCCATTTGATCGACTCCATACATTTTAGTTTTGATAATTCTTGTTCATCATCTACGTAAGTCACTATAAACTGTATTACATAGTGTTTTCCAACATTTTCAAGTACATCGTTCGTTACAAAAATTGATTCTAGAATGTCAGTTAATGTCAAATGAATTCCTCTTTCATTTCTCGTTGATCAACAAAAGTTTCTCTCTTCTATAGTCTAAATGTCCACCTGGAAGTTGATAAGTGCAAGTTCGATGACTATTTAAATGCTTTCCTAATAAAACACATTCCGGATATGAAAATGACAATAATACTGTGACTACACCATTAATGGGCGAAACATATCGATACCCGTCGAAGATGGAATCTGACAATGAAATTATGTACTAAGAACAATGCTTTTGATCGTTTAGTTCATGAAACAGAACGAATGTCTTATTTAATGCTCTAGTCATATTTTTCTAGTCTAGAATGTGTTATTTTTGAAGAAGCTCCGCAAAACCTTCCGCATCTTACTTAATACGAACTAGTCTGACAAACGGACGCTCGTATTGATTCTTAGATGTTTTATATTTCATATTTTTCTTTCTATTATTAGCCCTAGTAAAAATCTTAGACAGTTCTTAACATTATCTTACTAAGATCTGATAAGATCTTATCCTTTAAGATTTTGATAAGATAATCTACGATCTTATCGTTTAAGGTCTTAATAAGATTTAATGACTCTGCTTTCATTCACCCTTTTGTTTCGCTCTCATTCATCTACATAAGTGAACGAAAATATGAGTGATTATATGCTTATTTTTCTTCCTGACTCTGCTGGTACTTGCTCTCTCGAAAGCGTTCAACAACTTTTAAGAGAATGTACACGCAGGTCAAGGTCCATAGTTGGACACCTGAAAATATGAAATTTCTCTTCATTCTTTAACTTGGATAATGCGGATTAAAACTTGAAAAATTTTCAGTGAATCTCGGAAGCACATTGTTTAAAAAATGTTATCGTTCTTGCTATTAAGATCCTAATATATTCTTTTCCAATCTTGAAAAAGTTTTAGACAGTACAATCTTAGTAAGATCTTAGAAAAATCTTATCAAATCTTAGAATTTTCGGGTTTCACGATCTTAGTAAGATTTGTTTAAGATCTTAGACAAATGTAAGCGAAATCTTACTAAGCTTAACAAGATTTTTCTAAGATTTTAGTAAGGTTTGAGTAAGTTTTTCACTAGGGAGACTACCCAGGACATTGAAAATCATCAAGGTAATTGTCAGTTTACTGCCTACTTTTAGGACGGTCAGACCATTTTTAGGTGGTTTTTAGATAATTAAGAGACTGTCAACTGGGAGTTTTTAGGCAGCCTATAAACTGGCAATTAACGAGCAGTTTGTTGCCCGTCTTTTTTCTTCTGGGTAGTAACATTGTGCTATTTCCTATTTTGGCTGGATTGTTATCAATTGCTATACAGATCTATTGTATAGTACTACTCAAAAATCAATCCAAGTGTAGATTTTTCTTCATTCTATCAAAAAGGAATAGTTCTATTTCTGTTATTTGTAAAATACGTAAAAGTAAAAAGCAGCTGAGCATGGGTAAACAAAATTTAGATAACGAATGAGTTCCAATGATGTAAAAACCTCTAGCAATCTTCGTTTTATCAAGGATTTGTGTGAGGCTTCATCTCTGAGCTCCACCGATTTCATACTGTCAGCTTCATAATTGATAGTTTATTCCCAAACGTCCTTCAATATACTATGTGAATGTTTTATCGATATTTATTCTTTCTGGTATATAGTTAAAATGTCAGCTGGATATTTATTATATATTTTTATTTTTTTAAAAAACAGCACGTTCTGTGTCTCTTCTTTTTTCTTATAGTTGAAGAAGAACGAACAGCAAAGATCGGTCGGTCTTCTACTGAACAATTCACATAAAAATGTCAAAAAACTCAATATTCATTCACTTTGATTAGGTTGTAATAGTTCACAGATAAACAAAATATCTTTTAAAAGACAAAAATTTGTTAGGATGCCCTTTTTCTTCTTACGACGCGAATGCAGTGATCATCATCGCATTTTGTAGAAAATGTGTCTATCGTCACGTTTGAAAGATGAAATAAACAGTGAAAAGTGAGAGAAAAAAAGCAGTACAAATAAGAGAATTATGTGTATCCTTAGTAAACATACAATTCAAAATTTCACCTGCCAATATTATAAAGAGCCATTTTCTAATAATACAAGAAAATATGGAGAAAACAACGGAAAATTTAATTTTCTCTCAAACGAGCCAATAATTAGACTTCTAATTTCTACTGTAATTTTCAGTTGGCTTTAGTCATCAATGATCAAACTTTAGTAGCTTAAAACTGTTGTCCTTGGTAAATAAGACAGTCAATTTTTGATATTGAAAGTTAAAAACTTTTTTATATATTGAGTAATTGAAAGTTGAAAATTTGTTGATACGTGATGGATGAGCGATGCATGCGTAACAAATATTTAGAGTTTTTTTTGTTGTGTTTTAAAAATCTTTTCACAAAAATAAGACGTTTCTCCACTCTTCACAATGTTATTTCATCTTCACCTATAACTCTTTACCGGAACAAGACTAAATGTTTTTAAATTATGAACTAAATTACCATACTTCTACCTAACATTTACATGTTTTTCCAAATCTGTACTGTCAACTAAATAGGTTTAGTGAACTTATACAGAAAATGGTTAGAAAATTTCTTATCTGAAATAGGATTTAAGAAATATTTAACAACTCTTCACAATTCTTTTGTAACACAAAATAACTTGTCGGAATTTGTCCATAATAAACCTTTAAATCACGTAGGAGTTAAACGGAAAATAACAGATTATTGTTTTTGCTTAGTTGTTTTGTTGATACTAATCTATGTGCATATATTAACAATTTCTGAACAGTTTATATAGAGATGTGAATATAATAAACATACTCATTGAAATCATTAATCTGTTGCTAAACCATTATTTATACATACCACGTTCCCATTGCAATCGCTTTTCTTGAGCTCAATGTCAATATTACACAAATTCGTATACTAATCACTTCACTCTATTCTACAGCAAAGTTCATCTCATAAAAACAAATTCATGAAACAATCAAAAATAAACATTTTCCGAGAATGTCAATGGCTTCATTCAGATAGACATTCATTGCTCAACATACGGAAATCAAATTAATGAATATTTTCTTTTTTTTGTACATGATACTCTAGAAATTATAGAGAAGATCATTCTTTTTACAACCTTATTACTCACTCTTAATGTAGACTTCAATTGAATGTAATATTGTTCATGAAGTGTAACCAATCAGGCTATTTGTCAACAGTGCAGTCATAGAAAAGTACAGTTACTTCGTTTAGCGTAATTGTCATATAGTTCTCATTTCAAACTATTAACTATTTTGTTTGACACCCTATATTACTATGCGCAGATATAGATTAACTTTCATATAAAAAATGATAATTCATATAGAATTAATTCTTTAAATAAAAACAACAAGACAAAAAAGAAAAGAGTTTAATATCGATTGCTATCATTGGATGCTGTTGGCGATCTTTGTCGTATATCATAGAGTCCTGATGTATTTGTATTTATATTGTTATTAGGAGATGATGAGGCTGAAGTTGAGATAGATTGTTGTAACAGCAACGATGTTGTGGAAGGTAGTGGCAAAGAAGCTGGAGAAGATGTTGATGCTTGACAATAATTTAATGTTGATGATGGCGATACTGTTGGATAAGAATATGGATATGTGTATGATGATGGTGATAAACAAGACATTGGATAGATGTAGTTGGTTGAAGATGATGGTGGAATACCAGATGGTGTGGATGATGGAAACATTGATATCATCGATGAACATGGACTATTGGAAGAAGATGAAACAGACGTTGGATTATAAAATGGATCAAATGAAAAATTATATGGTTCAATTTTGGTGGGATAGGAAGCTAGAAAAAAAAAGTAGGAGTAAATATATTAGAAAAGCCTAGTAGATTAACTTTTCTATGAATAAACTTCTGTTTTGAACGATTCTGTATACATAAAAAAAGAATAAATAATGGTTTGACAACAGATTAATGATTTCAATAAGTATGTTTTATTATATTTACTCTAGACGAGAAAGAAAGAAAAGAAGATCACTCGCTCTATGCAAATAGATTAACAAAATCATTACATACAATACAAATAGTATCAATAAACTTCTCACACGAAAAAAGATAGTCAAATGTAAAAATTTTTGTTTTGATCGAATTAGTGATTTCCGTTTTTTTATGAAAACAAACACTTAATTTTTGAATACTTATAGTCAATTAGGAGCGTCTGTTTCAGATGAGAGCAAAAGTTGAAATAAAAAAATCAAATATGTAGCCAGCAATTCTTCAGAGTCTGTGAACACAATCTACAGAAGTCTAGCAAAAGGAGTTTTAGTATAAATTAAATACACTGAGATAAATAAGTTCTCAGAGAACTACAATAAAGCAGTTTATTTTTTTTAAAAATCTTAACATTAGTGTACTTACAATTCGGTGGTGATTTTCGTGTGTTTGTTCTCGTTGTATTTTGGTTGTACAATGATGGATATGGAGTTGAACGATAATTATGAAATTTTAATCTATCAACACCATTTGAATGATAATGTGTATCAAAAAAACTAAAATTTGGTGAAAATGGATGATATGGATTAGAGGGACCAAAAAATGATAAACCATTTTGTTGTAAATTATATTCTTCAGCTATTTCTCGTTCATCTCTATATTTTAAATAAAAAAGTGTGTGTATTAGAAAGTAAATAAATTAGGACAAATGTTTTCTTTACCTTTTATTTGTATCTAAGAATGCTTTAGCAAATGGATTATAACGAATTTTTAGTGCTGTGATCTTGAAAAGAACAACAGGAAAAAAGAACATTAAAGATCAAAAACGACAAGTGTGAAACTTACATCATCATTTTGATATGCCGTTACAGCAATAAATTCTGTTTCAGGAAAACTTGTTGTATAAACGGGAATTGTTTCATTGGCACGTTTCGACGTATGAATTACTTGAGATATACGAATTTTTGGCTCATATTTATGTAATGAATTAAGAACAATCTAGAAAAGAACCATGACAAATATTTTAGTCTATTAATTTATAATTCTCATTCGTAAATGGGCTATAGTCTCAGAAGTTTTTGTCAATTACATTAGCAGTATGATAATCTTTCAAGTTACCTGTGTTGGTCCTGTGTGATTTGTTTTATTTGTTAATTTTACTTTTGAAAATGCAATTGTATCTTTCATCCAATGTTTACCAAAATTTGGTGACTCATTATGTACATAGGGACCACGTTGAATGGGTGGATCCGGTTTTGAACCAGGTTGCCATTGCCCATTAACATAACGCCAACGATGTGGATCAACTTGATCAAAATATAATTCAATTGTATACATTGCTTCAGGATCAAGTCCACGAATCGAAACTTTAAATACGGGAAACATTCGTCTAAAAGTTATTTTGAATTTAGTACTTTTATGACCAGATGTTACTTAAGAAAAATTGAAAGAGGCTAACTAAAATTGGTATTGTTTTATGTGTTTAACACCTACTATCTTACATTAGATATAACATATCTCAGTAAAATTTCAAGTAATTTCTCGACTTATCTCACCTTCCCGCTTTTGTTACAATCATTTCATTCGTTAATGATTTAAACTTCATCCATAAATCACGATCTTCGAGATAGACGTTAATGTTTTCATTGACGGCTGGTTTCATTCTTGGACAAAGAGATGATGACATTGATGGTGATAATGATTACTATCGAAAGAAGAAGAAGAAGACAATAATTATTTCTTAGTTCTCATTGTCAGAAGAAACTTATTTTTAAGAGAGATGTGAAATACCTTATACGGTTGTGAAAATCTAAGTTTACTTGTCAACAACAACTGTACTCATTTACTACTACCTTTAATAATTATAGTTATTATGGTATACACACAAAATAAAAATTTCTTTTAGTTCGGCATCTAGTCTCTTGTTTTACCTTGTGTTAATGACGAGGATGTGATGAAATTTGTATTAAGTTGCGATATGCACAAAAGAAATGTTTATATCATCAAGTATATGAGAAAAAAAATTTTTTTTTAGTTAGAGAGAAATAATCTGCACGTACAATTTGACCAATAAAAACTTTTTCAAAAAAGAGGACGAATGAGAAAAAATGTACGTAGCGATATGTTCAGTTGAACTAGTCAGAATGAAAAGGCCGAGAATTGAATCGTCACAGTGATCAAGAGAACGGAAATAATTAGTGTTTTGCGCAATTAGTTTTCCCCGCTCCAAATTTTAGCAAGTATATTTTTGGTGATTTGAGAATCTTAAAATACCGGATCAGTTAGTTGAAAACAGATTTTTGACTACAATGTCACCGAAGACTTGTTGATTCACCGGTTGGTCCTGTCCAATAGGCATTTAAAAACCCACAACTTTGATACAGTACTTCACAAATGTACAGGCTTCCTTGTAGCTCAAGAATCGTAATAGCTAGAGGTTTCTAATTTTGAGTGATCGTGATTATTATCGACTACTGAACATCTAGCAAGTTTAAGGCTCTTTTAGTCGATGATTCGTGAGATATGAGTGTTTTATTTCTTTTTCGTATAAATAATGATAACTCACGATTCAACGTTTTAATAATTTTTCTCTTTATCAAAATGCAGCGCTAACTCTTGTCAATTTATAGTACGAATTTAAATTGATATCTCTTGATGGTTACTGGAATACAACTATTTTATGATCGAGGGCCACCGTTGACATGTGAAGTCATTTTCGAAAAAAATGCATAACTCAGCCTAGGAACGTCATTTTCACTTCGGACTAGTAGCAAATACTATGTCTGTAGACTATCCAGTTAAAGTATGAAAAACTAATTATGGTGTGGTTTCAGAAATTCATTGAAAACCAACATCTACTGCTGAAATATGAATAGATGGGTGAGAGGGTCGACCTTCCTACTGTAGAATCGAATCGACATTTAATTAGATCATAATCATGAAAAACTTTCACGAGGGAAAACATAGGTAAAACTTTCTCAGGAAGATTAAGTACTTTTTCAAAAAAAATTTCAAATATGTCATTCGACTCAGTTTCATCTGCTGATCTGAAATACGTTATCAATTTTTGCTTGCAAGTTTATGAGAAATGAAAAGTAAAATAGCGTGGATGTGCCGAGAGTGTGGTCACAAACGGGTTAAGTAATTAACCGCATACTATCTGCTGAGAGAGTAGGAAGCTATCTGTTCTTTGCAGTAAGAACGCTGTTTTATACACTTTAAAAAAAAGCGTTCCCCAAACTCCTCTTTTTAGGAACCGCTCTTCCACTGAACGCTTTTCAGAAAGATCACTTCTGTAATGACTACCAGTGAAACACTTTTGAAAAGTGATCTACAATAGAATAGTTTTGAGAAAAGGTCACTTCCAGAAGAAGTGAGTTCAAGTACTAAAAGTGCTGCAAAAAAAGAGTACTTTTTGAAAGTACTCTTCAATGCAGCATTTTGAAATCGCTCCAAAAAGAAAGCGTGGAAAACAGGAAACGCTCTTTTCAGCCACACATATATTTTACCATGTAATGGTATGATATTTTATGTTGTTATTCACTTTTATGGCATTTGAAACGAAGTTCTTTGCTGATAGCACGAAAATTCAGAATTTTGATTAAAATTCGTTTGAAAAATCCAGAAAACATCATGTAGCATGAAGATGTCTCATGAAAAGAGAGTCAGATAATAATTAATATGTTTACTATCTTCTTTTTTAAGCAATAGCTTTGGAATAAAAAATTTGAAGATGAGACTATGAGTACCAGTTCGTACGTTTATGCTAGGATATCCGTAAATGCGTATTTTTGATAACTCAACAAGAAATAAACATTTGTTTAAGATGAAAAACTTAGTTTTGAAAAATATCTTCCATTTACAGATAAAGATCTGCTGTCTTTAGCACATTCTCTACAAATGAGAACAAGATTTAATTTATTTGTATGCTATTTTTACAATATACAGACACTAAACCAATTAATTTTTATTTCAATTATTGCTATCGTTATTTGAAACAAACATATATACGTTACTATACTCGTCGTATAGACCGATAGACTACAGCAGTGATTGTTCCACTAATTAATATATTTTTATTTTATTGTCTGAAACTAAATAACATTCGGCCTTTTCTCGCACAGTAGTTTACCTCCTATATACACAACAGGGTCATCTAGTTTTATGACAGTGTTAGTAGTTGTATGGATACCAATTAAAATGAGTTTATATAAAAACAAATCAATTTGAATCCAGCTATACATTATGTGTTAAACGTTATCGGTTTTCAATTCTTACTATTATAGAGTACAGTAGTTCTTCTATCTTTTCTCTAAATCAAAATTTTTCATTAAAAAATGACCAAGTCAAAATTCTTAGAAATAATAAAATTAACAGTAATTATGATCGGTTAACAAAACCACCTTTCAAAATCTCTGCTTCTAACTACTCTAAGAATAATTCAGCTTTTAGGAAAAAAAAACGTCTAGATCAACTCTCATTTAGTAGCGTCTCTTTCGAAGTCATTTGATGGAATTTTGCTCAAAACCTCATTTCCAAAATAGTCGAATGTAGTGTCTTAAGAAAAGATGCTTTAATATGACTATTTCAGTAGCAAAAAAAGAATTTTTTGGTTGCTACCAAGATTGAACTTGGCATAGTGCGCATGTGAAACTGTCAAAACACAGAAATACGCTATAGCATTGACTTTGATTGTTTCACGTGTAACCTAATATTGAATGTTATTTGAGAAATATTTGACAGATAGAAACAGACAGATAATGCATTTTCTTTGGGGAGACTTCTTTGGAGTCGTATATGGGTTTCAGAGTGTAGTGAAGAGAAAAAGATTTCTCTGTCTGACATACGAGAGATAGTATCAATATGGTTAGTCTTTTGCTATTTAACTCATGAGATGCATTAATTAAGGCTTTCCAGTGGATAAACTGGCGTCTAGTGGGTCACTTGCATCATAAAGACCTGATTTAATGCCGTACAAAAATCAAGTTATAATTCGACGTGTTATAAGTATAAATGTGTCTGAGTTCAGTATTTTACACCTGAAGACATTGTGAATATAAGAAAGACGAGTATAATATTGTCATCAAATAGTTTAAGTGAGAGTACACAGCATATCATTTACTCACTTGAACGAATTGAAGAACAAGAAAAAATATTTTTTATTTTACGATTATCCTGAGTAAACACTGTAAATCGATTATTGAGATCCGACATAGGATGTTAACCTTTTCATCAATTTTTTTTACATCTTTATAAAAGTGAGAGAAGCGCGCAATAATTTTTTGTTGTTCTACTAAACTTTTCTTTTTACAATAACCACATCTAACGATAATGACATTCACCATATTTCTCCCTCAACCATGTTTCTGTGCGAATAGAGAACATAAGTTTCATCGTTTCGTACATAACTCTTCACATCATCTTTACACCTCATACTTAAGATGTTAAGAACAAAAACTTCAAACGTATTTCGATATGTCCAAAGATCATATTCAATCAAATTAACCAAAAAAAAGAAGAAATATACACACACATGCCATCATGCAGTAAAATACTTACTTACAAAAACTATAATACAGATATCTGGTTTTTTATAGAGAAATTGTTTCTTGCTATCTTTTAACGTTGCAGAAAACTTATTTGCTTAATGTCAAGCTACTGTGGAAGAGGGCACGTTTCTGTTTCATCGCTTGCGATGACTTATTTTCTTATTTTAAAACATTTTCCATTTCTAACTATAGATCTAAATCTATCACCGAACGGTGTGTGTGTGAGGACGATCGACTTACTTTTCTCATTTCTAAAAGTTTCCGCTTATTCCCAACATGGCTGAAATTGTCTTCTGATGTTCTACGTAGTTTCTATAGTAATCCTGATCAGTTTACCACAAATTTGCATGCATCTGAGACTTTAAGAGGAGTCGAAAACGACAAAAGGTCCTGAGATGATCCCCATCCAATTCAAAACCCGGTCGAAATGAATACAAAAGGTCATTCATAATATTTCTATGATGGTTTTAGATATTTAAAGGTCGCGACATCTCTGTATGTATGTACTACCCTATTATTCTCTTTATTAGTTACTACTAATAATTAGCGTTTTATTTCTCTGAATGATATTTCGATTACAAATCTGATTGGTTTTTTATTTTTCTATTCTTTATGTTTGATATGTCGAGCAATAAGAATAGAGTAAAAAAGGATTAAAGCAACATGAACAGAAAACAATTTGTGTATATTTCTCTCTTTCTTTTCTTCTAAGCTACTGTCATATTTACATTTAACACACTCACCATCAGAGCTTAATAACAGGTACATTTACCATCATCAAATAAGATCAAATGCATATAACAAGAAGAGAAATATATAAATCAACAAACATCCGAACACTAAGATGAACGTGCTTATTTTATTTAAACGACGCACACAAACAATGAACTTTCTTTTTTTTTTTATAGCAAATAAACTTAAAAACTTCATTATAATCAAACTTATTAGAACCTTATTTATGCTAATTGATAGCATAAGGAAAGACTACGTGCAAAAATCGCAGATTTTTTTTTAATTTGCTCACGTAACTTAATTGCTGATTTTTTTCTACTGTCTTCAGTTCATTCTCGAACATCTTTGTTAACCATTTAAACAGATACCTTTCATATTTTACGACAAAATATATGAGAACGTTTATAATCAGTTCGAAGTGATTTGATTAAGATAAAAAAGAAACAAATTTAAAATGTAAACTCTACTACAAATCAGTGAAAAAAACGTGTAGTTAACAAAGTTTATAATTTGAATCTTTATTATAAATAAAAAACACAAGTACAAAATGAGAACAATTGAATTCGCTTTGAAAGTGACAAATTATGAGTTGATTTGACAAATTATGTAAAAATATTAGTATCTGTATTATTATGCATTTTATCAAAATGATTGTCATTTATTTCTTCTACTGTTGTATTATGAATATTTTGACTAATGGTTGTTGTTGTCGAAATATCTGGTGAATATGTCCCAGAAGACGACGAAGATGACTGTGGTTGTTGTTGATAAGAATAAGGTGATAACCACGGCATTGAATTAACACCATTTTGACCGTTTGAATAGATGTTATGATGGTGAAATGCTGAATTGGAATAAAATTGTGATGGATCAATAAATGCTGAAAAGTAATAAAAGAATTATGTTGTGTTTATTTTATGCAAAAAATCATCAATATCTCATTTGATAGCGGTTAAAGATGAAATAATAAATGAAGTGTTTAACATTACCATGTGAATTATGTAACTTACAGTTTGATGTTTGGTGTGGTTGATAATGACTTGTTCCCAATGTATAGGGAGTTGAACGATAACTTGATAAACGTAAACGATCAACAGAACCATTCATAGACGACGATGAAGAATTTGTGGCAAAATTAAAATGATGTGGAGAATAGCTAGATGATGCTAACATTGGAAAACCTATGATGAAAATAAATATTATCAAAATTAAAATACAGGGCATCAACGATAATATAATCATACTACTTACAAGAAGCAAAATTTTGATCAATATATTGGACGTCTTCATTTAAATCTCGATCAGTTCTAAATAAAGATCATACACACTCTCATTTAAAACTATTTGAATTTTGATAATTTTGTTATTAGATTTTATGTCTAAAGGTAACTTATATTAAACAATGAAGTAAACTTTCATTATAATTTCTATGAAATTCATTGCGAATCTGTTTTGAGATGTGAAAAAAAAGAAATATCAGAATCTTTCTGTGAATGTAGGCAGTAATTTATCAGATGAATATTGATATTGTAAGATTCCATCTCCGTCTAAATTAGAGTAAAGCAAAAATAACAGCTGATTTCGAAATAAATAGTAAACATTAAAAAACAGAAAGTCTCTCTTCTCTTTTGCTATTGCAATGTCTATGATTATAATAAAGTCTGGGAATATTCTTAAGCGAATTAATAATAAAATTCTGTAGTTATATATTTGATTCCAATTAACATCTTTAGAAAAAATCATCACTTTCCTTCCGTTTCCTACATAGGTTTGATTTTATCAAACAATTAGCACATTTCCCTGAAGTTGAAATAGACATATTATTTGAAGATGTCAAAACAAACTTTCACTTTTTATTCTTTTTACCTTTCTTTGGCATCCTGAAATGCTTTGGCAAATGGATTATATTTGATTTTCAATGCTGTAATCTAAACGATATTTTTTTAGCGGTAATGATGTAGGTAGTGAGATCAAACGATTAACAAACAAATGTTGTTTATAAATATACGTACCTCTTCATTTTGATAGGCGGTAACAGCAATAAACTCTGTATCAGGAAAGCTTGCTGTATATAATGGAACACTCTCTTTGCCATCCACTTGAACTTGTAAAATATGAATTCGTGGTTCATATTTGTGTAGAGAATTAAGAACAATCTATAATACAGACAATGACGTTATATTCAATTTAGAGCGGAATTGACATATGTAGTACTCCCTACCTGATCATCCCCAATACTGTTTGTTTTATTTGTTAATTTCACTTTACAAAATGTAATTATATCACTCATCCAATATTTTCCGTAATTTGGTGATTTTGGATGTGAATAAATACCTCGTAGTGCCGGTGGTTCTTGCTTTGAGCCAGGTTGCCAATGACCACTAACATAACGCCAGCGATGGTTATCAGTTTGAGCAAAGTCTAATTTAATTTCATAAAATGTATCTGGATCAAGACCACGAATCGATATGCGAAGTACGGGAAACATACGTCTGCAACAACAATAATAAAAACATGAGTTCTAGTCACCGTTCGATCTGAAGCCCATTCTTCTCGATACTCTAATATAACCAGTACCGATATTAAAATGCTATTGTCGTCAACAAGTGTATCTCTTACCGTCCATTCTTCGTTACGATCATTTCATTTGTAAGTGATTTAAATTTTGTCCATAAATCTCTATCCTCCAGTAAAATAGTTATATTTTCGTTGACAACTGGTTTCATTCTTGGACAACACGACGTGAGAAGAGCTAAATGAGAAGAAAAAGAAAAAAAGATCTTTGTTATATTTGTGAGATTCATGTTTCATCTGAAAAGTGGCTTGTATTTTTCAATTATGTGTTAACCATACTACTACTACTTATCATCTGTGACAAATAGACTTTACCTGTCACCACCCTCTCTCATATCAGAAGAGTGTCAACGGTTATCATGACACAATTCCTTGATATTAAAAAATGTGGAATTTAATTTTTTTTTCTCTAGATTTTACCTCGCTGCATAACGTTGATGTGTCGAAATTTGTATGAACTTGATGAATATCTCGCAAATATACGTTACAAGTATAGATAAAGGAACGTTTTTTTTTAATTTAACTTTGTCGAAAAGGAAGAGAAGAGGAAGACATTTTCTTTACCAATACATGAAAAGTTAAAGCGTTTCAACGAACCAATCAAAGATAATCTGTTAAGACTACCTTACTTAAGTAGCATAAACGTTGTGTGTTATAAAACAGAACAAAAACAAGAATAAACTTTTTTGAAAAGAAGTGAGCGACTAGCAAGTAGCAGAACATTTTGAGTAACTTTTCTAACGTTAAAAGATGACAATATCATCTCACTATTGCAGAATGTTTTTTTGCATCAGCACAACTATACATTTCTAATCGAACTCCTGATGAAATTTTTACAATTTTTTCAGCACATTATATTCAAAATTTTGAATAAAATAAAAAAATTGATTGTTTTATGAGCGCCTCTCGAGAAAAGTATATTAGATAACTCTCTTTTCGTCTTCGGTGTTCTAGTTCTGGAAAAATCTCAAGTCTATCTAATGCTCTTTTCGATAAGATAAAAAGTCAAAAAGGAGAAGAGATGTACTCTTAACCTAAAACATTACCCTCGGAAATCTTACAATTATTACAGCAGAAAATGTTTTAGCTTCGCTCTACCATTGAACTAAACGTCATCAAATGTTTTTTTCTAAAGAACGAATCAGGTACTTTCATCCACTCTAAGAAAGAGCCACGACTAACAATTCTCAGTGACCATATCAGGCTTTTTTCAAAGTATGCCCTCATTGTAGAGCACACTCAGTTACCTATAAATCTAAGTTCTTAGTTTTCCTGGACCTTTCCTTCACGAGTTATGAAAATTTTTCTGAGAGATCAGATAATGAAAACGTGTTCCGAGAAAATGCGGAAGTAAAATTAAAAAAACATTTTTCGGTGACGATAAGAGATTCAGTCGAGATTTTCTCATCACATATACTAGACGATGTCCTCTATCTACTGACAGTCTTAAAATTCAAATATCCATACTACAGACCTAAAAGCCTGGATCTCAAAACCTCTCTGGGGTCCGATTTTCTTTTTATCCGCCCCCGAGTCTGGTTAAGTACAATTTTGCGAGAGCGGTTCTTTTTAGTACTATCGACCATGGGCTATGCAAATTTGAAATCAAAGTTTGAATCTCTCTAAGGGTCTCTGGAAACCCGTCTGTGTTTCTAAGATTTTCCGAAAACGTTGAAAATTTTCTTCATTCGACAGAGTTGAAAATTCTGAGCAGAGTGAGATATCTCACAGCGCTGTACGACCATTTTCCAGTGAAGTACAAAATTTACAAAAGGAGCCAATTATTTTATATTTCCTACATAGCGAGAAAATCCAGATCTTTTTGAAAAAGTAGTAGCTCAATGAAAAATGGTTTCTCAGACTGATGTTTTAACAGATTTAAGAGTACATCCCTTCTCCTTTTTGGCTTTTTATCTCATCGAGACCACTATTAAATAGACCTGAAATTTTTCCAGAGGTAGAGCACCGACGACGAAAATCGACGTGTTTTGCTAAGCGTTATTTAATATACTTTTCAGTTTCGAATCTTGAATCTCGTTTGTCATAATACTTCTTCTAGACGAGTTCTCTCGAACGCTTGTATGTTCGATAATGTCCTCTTTCTTCATTATTGTTATATATTTATGTTACGTATGAAAGGTTATAAGAGGATGTCTATTGGTTCTTCGTTTATGGGGATTTCATGATCTTATGTTTAACCTATAAAAACTAGAGCAGTGGTTCAGAATGGTAGCAGTTTTTTCGATCCAAAATCTGTTCATAACAATATTCTCCTGTATACATTATACGATTGTGTCGCGCTGATCGTCGCAATATGTGCATCTATGCATAAAATATTGTCATTAATAATTTACCTTCAATAAACGGGTGATCATTGATATGCATTACTCTATCAAACCGTGTTAGGATAAATGACTAAAATTGAGTTTGATCATATATCACCAACTAAAATGGACATATCCTACTACAGAGAATGAACAACATGTAAGTGTTAGATAGTTGTTGTTCTACTCGAATGTCTAATAGAATAATGTTTTTCAGTATCTTTCACTTAGAATCTTATTAGAAAATTTTATTTTATTTTAAAACTGAAGCGGATTTTAGTCTAGTCGTCTGATTACTGTGGAACTACTGATCGTGTTATGAAACTTTTTTAGCAAAACTTCTGTGATCACCGTGTGTAGCATTGTCATGGCTACAAAATGCGCATAATGAGAAATTGTCTTGATTGCTATTTATACTATTCTTTTATAGTATTAATTTAAATTTTAAATCAAAAAGTTGACTATTGAAGATGATAAGTCTCAAAGTTTCAATTCTTTTTCCTAATAAAGTCTAAGCTTATTTGACGAAACAAATTTTTATTTTGTTCAGTTTTTTAAGGTCTTTCAAAGAAATTTTTTATAAAAATATCTAACTGAAAAATTAGAAATGGATTTATAACAGCTGAAACTTTAATGAAGATGCCTTTTCAGAAAAAAACAGAGTACGATTTTATTCAAAATCAATATCTCAGTAAGAGAAAGGCGCTAAAATCTATAAGTCTGGCATATTTAGTTTCGTACGAACGATCGAGTAGTTTTCACTGTTTGTTATGGCGTTTCTAACAATCTTTCTCTCCAAGTTTTTTGCAATGTGTGTGAGACGGAAAATAAGCCTTGCGTTAGAGAGCAACATGATGAAACTAATGAACATATTCTACGATTCACACATATAGTTGATTCTCTCACTTTTCAATGTATGTACACACTGTTCACCACTTATCCAGTTATAACAATAATATAAACCTATATAACTAAGTCTAACATTATCATAATTTACATAAAAATAAAGAATATAAATATATCTGATGTGGATGTCAATTGTTCAAGCTAATTAAAATTAGCACGAAGATGACAGTATACAGTATCTATTAAAACAGGAACAATTAAAGCAATTCTATTTTTCACTGATTATTAGTAGAGTTGTGATTTTTAATAAATATATGAATTTTTTTAACTTGTTGTGACAGATTTACTTCTGCGCAGAAATCTGCCATGTATGGCTTCCAGAGATGAGAGAAACGAAGTTTTTGAATGTCTCGTCTTGTTGTTCTCATCATTCCATCTAATAGATGACGATAAGCGTTAATAGATATAGATTATCTATTAACGCTTATCTCAGCAAAAATACAAAAGATAGATAAAAAAAGAAATGCACGAGAATTCTTCATTTTTTTCAGGCGATTGTACGACTATTATTCTTAATATGACTGTTGTTATTGTCACCGTATTCTTTGCTTGCCGAAAATAAATATCAAATTATTAACCATCTGTATCCAAATTCGCTCGGCTGGATGTGTAATTGTTTCTGACTGTACTGAACATGCGTTCTACACCAACTAAAAATGAAATAATAATCTATCTACACGTTTGCAATCATTTCTGAGGCGTCACTAGTTTCAAACGATGTGCCGTCTCTCGAATAAACTAGAGAAAGAGTAGATTCCGTCTCCATTTGTTTAGTCAAATTTCGTATACTTCTGATATTCTTCTCAAGAATCATGGTTGAAATAGTACAACGTAGAGGATGTTATGGAAATAACAAATTCATTTGCAGTAGTCAGTGGTGAATTCAGAATTGTACCGCTCATTATCTGGATCCGCTAGTGGTAGTAATGGTACACTTGATTGTACCCTCGTAAGGGTACAAAATGCCCTAAGCTTCTTAGGAATCAATGCATGAGAAATACGACCTTCTGCTGCAGAATCATGCCTAGTGACCATATCAGGCTTTTTTCAAAGTATACTCACATTGTAGAGCACACTCAGTTACCTATAAATCCAAATTCTTAGCTTTCCCGGACCTTTCCTTCACGAGTTATGAAAAATTTTTCTGAGAGGTCAGACAACGAAAAAGTGTTCCGACAAAATGCGGAAGTAAAATTAAAAAAACATTTTTCGGTGACGATAAGAGATTCAGTCGAGATTTTCTCATCGCATATACTAGACGATGTCTTCTATCTACTGACAGTCTTAAAATTCAAATATCCATACTATAGACCTAAAAGCCTGGATCTCCAAACCTCTCTGGGGTCCGATTTTCTTTTTATCCCCCCTCGAGTCTGGTTAAGTACAATTTTGCGAGAGCGGTTCTTTTTAGTACTATCGACCATGGGCTATGCAAATTTGAAATCAAAGTTTGAATCTCTCTAAGGGTCTCTGGAAACCCGTCTGTGTTTCTAAGATTTTCCGAAAACGTTGAAAATTTTCTTCATTCGACAGAGTTGAAAATTCTGAGCAGAGTGAGATGCCTCGCAGCGCTGTACGACTATTTTTCAGTGAGGTACGAATTTTTCAAAATGATCTGAATTTTAGCAGGTTCTCGCTACGTTGAAAATATAAAGTATTTGGCGTGTGAAAAGAATATTCTACGCATGGTGTAAACTATTTCACGCACGAAGAACTTCCCTTGTGGTGTTGTTTGAGCGTGATCACGAGAGGTTTTAACTAAACACGGTTTTTCTGCGTATAATAACCCACACCACACGCGAAAAGATGTCATTTTTTTCAAGTTCATAACAACCGGTTGTTGGTAATAATGTTTGATAATTAACCATTAGCCTTCATCTATATATAAGCCACTTTGATATTTTGAAAAATAAGTCAGATGGCTCAACTGGAACATCGTCAAATAAGCAACTCAAACATACCCCGATGAAAATATACCAAATTCCAAAAACATCAAGATTCTGCGTGAGCAGGTGTTGTCATCATTTCGCCATTTTGCGTGAAAAAAACTACGCGAAAAAACGAATAAAACGTACTTCTACGAAGATCAAAGTATATCAATTATGCGCATATTCAAACTTTAGCTGAAAAATATTTTTATTACTTTTTTGCACTTTTCCAGATACTAGCATGGAATAACAATGGTTGGAGAAATCCACACCAACCAGACATTTTTAAGCAAAAGTGAATAATTATTTCATTATGTGAAAGCCGTCATCATCTACTTTACTTTAATATTAAAAATTATTCATGTTCTTTTTGAAAAGTTTTCCAGTACATAATTTATCAGAAAGAAGAGTCTCAAAATATCTGCATTCCACTATAATAGATCCAAACGTTTTTTCAAATATTAACAAGAGCTTCCAATTGTATGAAATAAAACTTAGAATGTTTCTCTATCAAAACAGAAAACAATTTTGAAGTTTGGTTGAGAAATGGTGGAGTTATTAAAATTTTTTATTGGATGATGACTTTTGGGACACCCTGTATATTAGCATTTGTCTTCAACATCACAGTAAGCAGAAATATTAAATCTCAGACAATAAAGTCGATAATTTTTTGCAGTATTGTAGAATACATTTTCCATTAGATTTGGTTTGTCTTGACCGTTCATCAAATAAGCACCAATATTCTACCGTAGTGGTCATTTCTATCAGGCTCTTAATAGCAACCAAATAATTACTATTATATTTAAGACTAAGTCCATCACATAGTCCATCCGTATATGATGTGATTTAACACGTAACACGATGAAAAAGTTTAAAAGATTATTGTCATACATAAATAAAAATAAATAGACTAACAAATAATAAGTTGAAAGCACATTTATTTTAAGCTTTTTTTTATTGTGATAATGCGTATGCTCTGTAAGCTAATAATTCTTGATTTGTTTTAAATGTAATCGATTGATTTTGTTCAATAAAATAAACATTTCCTTTTCTATAATCATACGCTTTACTTTCATTCGCAGACACATGTCCTTCACCTGTAATAATAATCAGAAGACTTAGACCATTGACACCATCGACATGAATTGATTCATCTTGTTTACCATCATACCGAATTTCTTGAACGATAAAATCATTGATAATTATTGGGTTAAATTCACGAATGCTAAAAATATTTAATATAAAAAAGTGTAGTGCAGAAAAATGATTAATTTTTTTTTAAGCACTGATGAGCGTTCTTAGCGTAACCGTTACCTTTCGTTTATCTTTTTTGCTTTAAATTTGGTTTTTTCCGGCGTATATTCTTCATAGTTTAGCATTGTAATAAGTGTATCAATATCTTTGAATTTTGGCGTGAAACCTGCTCGTACAACATTATCCGAACATGCCATACATTCAACACAATTTCCATACAAATAAGCGTGTGGTATATTAGCCGGTAAAAAAATAGCTTCACCGGGTTCTAACGTCAAATAATTGAAAAAATAAATTGAAAATAAACCGACATCATTTGGAAATTGTTCATTTAAACGTTGAAATAATTGTGAAAGAGAAGCACATTCATCTGAAGAGTCTGCGTGTTTAAGATCATTTAAATGAGCTTGAACACAATGTTCAAGTTTTACTTTATCACTTTTCATCAGATTTTGATAGAGAGATGACAATAAATCTTTCTGTAAATTTTTGTCGGATGAATTGTTTTGTACGGCATTAGAAAATTGTTCACAAACCTACAAAGAAAAAAACGAACGGCTTTTATTTGCATTTTTACCACAAGGATAGCATTCGGAAAAGTGAATTGTTCGTATTAACGTTGTTCACTACTACTACTACTACATTGTACACAAGCTACTTACTTTAGGATCGCATAATATTCGTAATTGTTCGTACTTTTTTAGATAATAATTAATTTCTTTATATTGCCGAAATGCACATAGACATTCAAAATGCGTGAGAGCTATTGCCATTTCTGGTTTATGATTATCATCCGGATATTCTTTCGGATTTTTTTCATGTAATTCTCGGGCATGTTGTTTATTTGGATGAGCCTGAATACTTAATGCTGTTTGAACACTCAAAATTTTAAATAAATAAGGTAAATTTCCGTTTTCATACGACGAATACTTTTTCTGTTGTTGAATATAAGAACGTAAAGTTGTATTACCATCCGTCAAGTATGATTCACCTTTAGGATGTGTACCCATCCAATATTCAGCATACGTTTGTGTGGGATTGATTTCAGATCCATTGGCTTCAGATACCTGAGCAACTAAACTCGAGGATCCTTTCATACCCCATAGATAATTTTGAGCATAGCCCTTGATTGAAAACATGACAAAAAATAGAATGATCTATAACAGATTAGCAGTCTCAGTTGAGTCTAAAAATATTCTTCTTCTCGGAAATGGTTAGAGATTATCGTGTCGTTCATACGAATTGGTCTGTAGGGAGATGATAAAACAACCACTCCGTTACTAAGGCATTCCTTTTTTCTGAGGACAACCAGTTGTCCATCTGCAAGAAAGGAGTAAGATACAAAAACAGCGACATCTTACAATTAATTTCTAATCTAATCGCAGTAGATATTTTAATTTTGATCGGTTTAAAGCTGATAGAGAACTTTTAACAAATTTAATCTTCTTTTGACAAATTTTAATTTGTCTAATCGAACAAAGAAATTTGACTAACTAAGTAGTTTATTAAAAATTGTACAATAAGAAACAAAATTTTTATGTACATTTAAATATTCTGACATGTTCAATATCTGTATTTACACATATATATACACTCAAACACATACAAACATTTATGAGATTCTATTTTTCATTGGTAAAAAAAAATCACCGGTTTAAGAAAAACAAGCTGAGAAAAATTAAAGCTAAGACGGCGAGTAAAGTGCAGCTAACGAAGATGATTGTCCGCTGTTTGCGTCACTTTCACTTTGTTGTTGTTTTCCAACGCTGTTATTAATCGTTTGTTTTCTTCTTCGTTGTATAATATAATCATAGAATAATTTACACAAATAAATTATTAGAAGTAAAAAGACAAGACACACAATACAGGAAGGAATTAAAATCAGGAGTTTTGTTGTTGAGAGAATAAACGACTGTCTAGAGGATAAAATTGTCGTTGTGAATGTTGGAAAATCAGAAGCGGATAAACTAAACGATAAAAACAAATTACAGCGTTGAATATCGAATGAAAAGCTATAGCAAAATACATTATCTAACTATCTAGGCATATGAGATATGTAAGTAAGGTAACTTACGTTGAAACGATTGTACTGTTCATCTGCAGTACAAAAAATGCAAAAGTATCTCAAACATTTCAATTGTGAGAAGTAAACATTTAATCGTCGATGTTGGCATTGCTTGAGATCATTAGTATCTCATGAATATGTCAAAATACTTTCATCTTGAAATAAGCAAAAACACGACAAATAGAACAACGTTCTTCTTGTTCACATTTATTTTTATCAGTTTCGGTAAAAACGTATCATCATCATACTGAAGTTCTATCTTCAATATGGTGATCGTACTGTATTTTATCGTGATATCTATATACTCATTGTTTCATTTAAGAGCGTTTAACAGTGGAACTGCGTTAATAGTTAATAGTAAGTATTAGCAAATTAATAGTTATTAAGAAAATGACATTGGAATTTCAATAACTACTACTGTTAATTAATGCTAATACATAAAGCATTTTAGAACATTTGCATACATACAGATTAATGGCCTATATGTATGTATAAAGAGAGCTTGTATCGGCTTAGTCTAGAAGGAATTTTAATAAAAATGCCAGCAAATATGCAGAATGACAACATGGCAGTGTAAAAGGACGAATATTAAGTTGATTTAGAAACTGATGACTATAGCGGTAAACATGTGTTGTTTCCTTTAAGTCCCAAATGTAATCAATGCGAATTGACGTAGACAGTCTCTCCTTCAAACCATTTGGAGCTAAAAGGAAATAACGATCAAAAAACTATAAGACACGTTTTTCTTCGTAGTAGTTGCTATTGGTTCAGTAAAACAGCTAACAGAATTTTACACTTTGTCCATTATAAAAGCTGACAGTGTCCGCTCGCAATGCACGTGTGCATTTAAGATTGTGTGTCACTGCACAAAGCTTCTTCTTGAAGATCAAGATATACTTTCTTCGTAAATTTATACTTTACCATTTCACAGTGCTCATGAACCTCTGTTTCATCTACACTAATTGGTCGGAACATTGGCCCCCTTGTTTGCGGAATGAAGAATGAAAGTGTTTTTCTGCTGAATCTTTTGCTTAAAATTATTACAACTGTGCAGAAGTAATTATATTTTTGATATATTCAAACCTCTTAAGAAATGGTAAGATATTTGTTCAGAGCTTTCTAATATGAATCTGGATGAGTAGAAAAGTTAAGAAAGACGCTGTTACTATGTTTAGTATTCCAGTTTCGAGTCTATAATTTTTTCCACATGCGTTGCATTAACTTTGGTCTTTTTTTAGTGTTTTATAAAGTTTGAGTAGTTGTGATTCTTCACCTCTGTAGGGAGAACTTGTGATGTAATTTGCTTTTCTGGTGGTGAAGTTTATGAGATTATAAAAAATAGTTAATTCTTTTCATTTCAGGCAGCATCAAGACCGCTTGTCAGTATATATGATGCAAAAGGTCAACCAACCGGAAAGCAGATTGCATTACCAGTTGTGTTTCGTGCACCAATTCGCACAGACATTGTTAGTTTTGTTCATGATCAAATGAGAAGAAATAAACGTCAAGCACATGCTGTTAGTAACAAAGCTGGTAAGCGTGTACATAAAAACTGTTTGAAGAACATTGAATAAAGATAATGACCACATGGAGGTTGTTTTATAAATAATGCGCATCTCATTCTCTACAGTCAGTAAACTTTCAAAGAGTGTCAGCAAATTATTTCACAATAATACAAAACTTCTTTTCTCGATAACAGTATTTCTGGAAAAGAATCTATTTTCTAACTGCACTATGGTTTTTCTCTTTCTAGGTGAACAGACAAGTGCTCAATCTTGGGGTACCGGTCGTGCAGTAGCTCGTATTCCACGTGTTCGTGGTGGTGGTACTCATCGAAGTGGTCAAGGTGCCTTCGGTAATATGTGTCGTGGTGGAAGAATGTATGCACCAACAAAAATCTGGCGAAAATGGCATAGAAAAATCAATTTAAATCAACGACGTTATGCTACTGTATCAGCTATAGCAGCCAGTGGTGTACCGTCACTTATTATGGCAAAAGGTATGCTGTAGAGAAGTGGTTGATTGAAAGATTAAGGATTAATATACATTTATGAGAAACATGTTTTTGAAGGTTTACAATACTAATAGATGCTTTTTTTTGTCTTTTAAGGCCATAGTATCGAAAATGTACCTGAAATCCCACTTGTAATATCAAAAGATGTTGAAAGTTTACGAAAAACAAAAGAAGCTGTTGCTGTGCTACGAAAGCTTGGCGCATGGCAGGATATTCTAAAGGTTCGATTGCTTTTGTGATAATAGTTCCTCTTGATGAGAGATAAAACAGCTATCACTCAAATACTAGTAATTTTGCTCTTAAACACGGACTAATAGAGAAAAAAGATTACGCTTTTTGTTTAAATAGGGTTTTTTTTACTCTTAAACGTGTTTGTTTTCTTCTTCATTGTTGGTCTATCTGTTTCTATTGTGTTTTGTATGCTTAGGTCTACGCATCGAAACATACGCGTGCTGGTAAAGGCAAAATGCGTAATCGACGAACAGTAATGAAACGTGGCCCGGTTATTATTTATAATGCAGATCATGGAATTAAAAAAGCGTTCAGAAATATACCTGGTAATGTACAAACAAAAGAATAAACTTGCTTTCGTTAACTATTGTTATCTGAAAGGAAAAACCTAAATTTGATAGTACAGCAGCATTATCATACGCTGTAAAGAATTTTTCTACCCGTACCGTTTTTTCTGGTTTGTATAAGAAGTTGACTAGGTACATAAAGTCAGCAGGAGAGTGCTAAACATACAAACTTAGAGAAAACAAATCGAAGTTTTACCCCTCATTATATCATCCACAAACAGCACACCTTTAAAATCGAAAAACAGAGTACATGCAATCGTTAAGTAATGAGAGTAAGTACGATCACTTTTTGATGCAGATACATCGACGGATGAAGTCACATTTGTATTCTAAACCTTTCTAAAAAGAATATCGCCAGCCAGTTTGTGAGCAGAGCATTTGACACAAAATGAAGAGTATCTTCTACATGTTCTTAATCTGGATACCAACCTGCAGTATTCACATATGCTACTTGGTTTTTCTTTATGAAAGTCATTTTGACTGAGATAAAAGCTGAAAAGTTCAGGTTTTTCGGATAAGTTTTATAATCCACAGAAATTGATGTATTAGCCCCAAAAATGTATCTGTGTGAGTAACTGGATAGAGAATTTCATGGTTTTTATTTTCTGCTATCGATAGATTCTTTATTAATGGTTTCAAGGAGTGTTTCTTTGAATCGCTCCTGGAAAAACATGAGTCTTTCGACGAATGCCTAGTTAGGGACGATCAGTCGAAAGGGAGATCCATTCAATTCGCACTGTCGAAAAACAAGATGAGCTAAAAAACAAACTTTTTTTCTGTAATATTCTCTTATCCATGAAGAGTGTTTCAAATTCATGAAATTCTTCTTATTTAATGAGAGGAAGAATAAATACGTTCTGCATTCTTCGGAGGCGTTCACTGATGGAGCGACTCTTCCTCAAGTGTAGATACAAACTGTTATTATTTCGCTGTATTAGTAGGATCTTGGATGAAGGATTATTGTGAGAAAACTTGTTTTCTTTGTTCTCGAGTCACAAATCTCCTTTCCGGTAAAATGGTAGCATTGTCTTGTGCTTAGCAGAAATCAGTTGTGAAACAAATATCTTATCAGAAAATGCTATTTTACTATTGTCTCAGATTCTTGTTTTTAGAATAGAGTTGATCATTCTCGAAGATGTTTCAGTTTTTTTATCTGGACAACTCTACGTTCAGATTCTACATGTTAAGTTTTAGTATTCCTAAAGCTGTGTACGAGCGAATGATGTCTATTGAACAATTCAACTCTGAATTCTATAGTGAAGTTAGAACACATTTAGCTGACGCTCATTTAACCACTTTCGAAGATTTTCTCAAATAGATATAACTCTATTCTGTTTTACTAATAGAATGTCATTGAGTACTCCATGATCAGCATGTTATATTCGGTGTCGCTCTTTCATTCACGGCCTCTTATCTTGAAAGGATGTTCTCTCTTGTGGAATATCCTTTAAAAACAAAGAGGTATAGAATATTTCGTGTTCATTGTCTTCGGAGATGTTTAGAATTTTAAACCTGGACATTTCTTCCTCATCTTGAACATACACTTGATCTTGCACTATTCAACAGCCTAGGCTAATTCATTTTTCGAAAGAGATGATCAGTTTGTTGATTGCAAGTGAGAAATAGTTTTGAAGACTTATCTTCTATCTTTAAGTCTTTAAACTATATACATTTTTTTCTCCAAAAAAATACCTAAATAATGAATTTGTTCAGTCATTTTCTCTTGTTTTAGGTGTGACATTGTTGAGTATCCAACGTTTAAATTTATTGCGTTTGGCTCCAGGTGGACATGTTGGTCGTTTTTGTATTTGGACCGAAGATGCATTCAGAGAATTAGACAAATTATATGGAACATGGAAAACAAAATCAGTTAGAAAAACTGATTACAAGTAAGTTCATCACATAATGTCAGTCAGTGTAGTTTAAGGCGTGGTATCACGGTTTGTTATTCTCAAACGTGCGTTTCTGAGTAGATATTTTCTAACAGTATAGATTGAAGCAAATGATGTTGATGAAATTCAACTCAGAGGTTGACATTTGTTTGCCAACTAATTATGTTGACAAATAACTCTGATGCTTCGTTCAACAAAGCATTTAACTGTCTGTCACAACTATGAATAAAAAAGTTGATTTAGCGCATTCTTTCTTTTTATTTTACAATTCAGAACAGTAGGGCGAAATCATGCAAAATGCTTCCAGTTTTAAGTTAAGTCAAACTGCTTATCTTCCTCAATGCATTTCTGACGAATGATTCAAGTGTCACTCTTGAAAATTACTGAATATTGCTAAATAATAAAGAAAAAGAAATACTCGTTAGCTTATAGTACTGTACAACAAGTATCATTTTTGAACAGTGATTGTAGAGAGAAAACTGCGATAAACATTAGCTTTTGGCAACCATAAAATAAAGAAAGAATATCTTACCTTGCGACTACTGATGTCGTTATAGGATGCTGACAAGCTATGAGTGACTTGTTAGTTTCGAGCGACTCGACATCTGTGAAGATTAGAATCTTCGAAGGTGGTCATCAATCTCTTTACTAATTTCCAACTATATCCTTGTCCATGAGTCTAGCTTAATACAGAGTATCTCGAGCTTCTCATACACGCTAATTAGTAGGTTTGTGCGACAGAAAGTATGTTGTACATTATAATGCAGTAAGCATGTTTTCAAACGGATGAAGCGAGACACTTGAACTTGAGTAACTTGCGCAAGATTAATAAATGACTGATCAGCGCCCAAATTCGAACACGGTTTTGTTGATGTATGTGACGAACAAAACCGTCAAGTCTTGTTGTTGGTAACTCAACATTTAACACGTAATTTTTCAAATAGAAATAGAAAGAGATGTACTCAGTCATGAATGAAAATTGTACTCCTTACAGTTAGTGACCACGGACCATGTTTTGTTAATTTCTTTTTCTAGTTTACCAATGCCATTAATGACAAACAGTGATCTTGGTCGCTTATTGCAAGCAACCGAAATTCAAAATGTATTACGTGCACCAATGTAAGATCTACTTTCTCTGCCAATTCTATGTAGGTTACATTTGTCTTTGTTTATATTTAGTAAACGTCAGCAACGTCGTAAAGTGAAGAAAAATCCATTGAAAAATATGTCATTAATGGTTCGTCTAAATCCATATTCATCAATACAAAAACGACGATCATTAGCACAAATTGTTAAAGGACGTTCAACAACAAAAAGAGTATGTTCAATACTTAGAACTGAGATAGCACTATTTTCTCTATAATATTCTCTTATCCATGAAGAGTGTTTCAAATTCATGAAATTCTTCTTATTTAATGAGAGGAAGAATAAATACGTTCTGCATTCTTCGGAGGCGTTCACTGATGGAGCGACTCTTCCTCAAGTGTAGATACAAACTGTTATTATTTCGCTGTATTAGTAGGATCTTGGATGAAGGATTATTGTGAGAAAACTTGTTTTCTTTGTTCTCGAGTCACAAATCTCCTTTCCGGTAAAATGGTAGCATTGTCTTGTGCTTAGCAGAAATCAGTTGTGAAACAAATATCTTATCAGAAAATGCTATTTTACTATTGTCTCAGATTCTTGTTTTTAGAATAGAGTTGATCATTCTCGAAGATGTTTCAGTTTTTTTATCTGGACAACTCTACGTTCAGATTCTACATGTTAAGTTTTAGTATTCCTAAAGCTGTGTACGAGCGAATGATGTCTATTGAACAATTCAACTCTGAATTCTATAGTGAAGTTAGAACACATTTAGCTGACGCTCATTTAACCACTTTCGAAGATTTTCTCAAATAGATATAACTCTATTCTGTTTTACTAATAGAATGTCATTGAGTACTCCATGATCAGCATGTTATATTCGGTGTCGCTCTTTCATTCACGGCCTCTTATCTTGAAAGGATGTTCTCTCTTGTGGAATATCCTTTAAAAACAAAGAGGTATAGAATATTTCGTGTTCATTGTCTTCGGAGATGTTTAGAATTTTAAACCTGGACATTTCTTCCTCATCTTGAACATACACTTGATCTTGCACTATTCAACAGCCTAGGCTAATTCATTTTTCGAAAGAGATAATCAGTTTGTTGATTGCAAGTGAGAAATAGTTTTGAAGACTTATTTTCTATCTTTAAATTTTTCTTTTATAGAGAGAAGGACGGGAGTTTGTCGTTTGTCGAACTTACTTCTACAGAAATGCTGGATCTTTAACATTTTTTCCTGTATTAGTTGTGCTTGTGTAATAGAAAAATTCATCTGATTGTAGAATTCTGTGTTGCTCATAATCATTAATTGCTTTTTCATTTTCTGTTTCACTTTAGACAAATTCAAAGAATAAAGGTAGTTTTGCTACTGTAACTAAACGTGAAACCACAAAAACAACTACAACAACCGTTAAATCATCAGGCAAAGCGTCTACCACTTCAACAACAAAAACAAGTTAAATCATGATAAAAATTAAATTTTGTTTTACAAATGTTTTCTTGTACTTGTTTTGTTTAACTGCGACATGTGAACGAAAGAAAATTGAAATGCTCACGATTTAGAGAAAACAAATAAAAAATACGACATCCGTTGACACATCGAAAGTAGGTAAATCATTTGATAACAATCAGTGCGGTTGGCTTTCTTTAGCCACATGCACGGCGATGTTTGCCTTGATTTTGTAACTGGTTTGTTGAACATTATACTCATAAAGCGTTTATTTATAACGACCAATAGAACAATTCTGAATTACAATGAGTGAAAAAATTTTGATCTCTGCTCTGATATATTTTGAGTTTGTACACGAAAATGTTTCTGATGGTGTAGAGATTAGCGGGTAAGTTTTCTTTGGTTGGAGTGTCAGTAGTTTATGTTTTATCGCCAAATTGTTCATGTACATAAGTGAAATTTTGGATCGAATATTGTCTCAGAAAATTGGATTTTACTTTTTGATATTCTTATCTAGAATAATATGAAAACCCATTATTGGTTTTTTTTTCATCACTTCCACAAAATGAATTATTCGTCTAAATTTTATTTTCTGTTCAACTACTCTAGATAAATTTATAAGGATCGTTTAATTATCCTCATTGACGATAGACGAAGTTATGAGAAAAAGTGTAATTTACTAGTAAGAATAACGACAATATTAAATAATGTACAATCTGAAGATATGAATGATAGATTTTTAATTTATATGTAGACTATCAGCTTGACAGCTAGAGATGAGAACGGTCATTAAGACTTTCTTGGGTGAGTCCAGTCAAATTTTATCGACGAATTCTTGGGAAAAAATTAGTTATTTTTTCATTTTTATCATTCTTCTGTAGTTAGTACTTGACCGATCAAAATAAAAACATGAAATAATTTCTCTCAGTAGATCACGCAGTATTCTTCATACCACGGTAACCGGCGTATTCATAACAAATAAATTCACCATGATTAGATTTCATAATATTCTACGTTGATTGATTATACGAAAACCAATATACGATCATCAATCAACTGCAAGATATATAGGTGTATTGAAAGATATGGGTGCATACCTAATTTTCTTTCTCAAAAATGCTGTAGTACTATCACGGTGAATGATGTAACAAGGCAAAGTCTGTTTAGAAGATTACAGCGGTAAAGCAGATTCTCCTAAAGCTTTTACCGCACTCCCAAAAGACTTACACTAAACCTACTTTTTTCTTTCACTATGGTACAATACGAACGGACACAAAAATTTATCTGAACGG